ACTTCTTACCTCCTCTCTCTCTCTCTCTCTCTCTCCGCTAATCTACGCCTAACCTCGTCCTCGTCGTCTGCAGCAAGGAAGTATTACCTACTTACCCCTTATCCGAGATAAATATTTCTCAGTCCTCAAACAACTACATCCCTTAAATCTCTAGCCCTCTCTCTCTCTCTACTCCTTCCTAAAACACCTCGCTAATATCGTCGTTGCTAAAACGATCGTTTAAGAAAGTATACTAGTCGGTAGTAAGAAATAGTAGTCCTTCCCTACCTATCGAGAGTAGTATATCTTTTTAGGAATTGCGAATATTGATAGGAGGGTATTACTAAGATACTTCCTAGCTATATAGACATGCAAAGCAGTAGAATCCGACGATTATCGATATGTCGATAGGCCGATAGAGTAAGGTAGACGCGGCTTCAGGAGCAGTCAGTCGTATTAGTGTGATACTGTAATGTAGACGAGCAGGTACCTATGTAGAATCGGGAGAATCCGGAATCCTTTCCAGATCTGACTTGAAGTAACAGATAGCCTCAGGCATACTTACATTCATACAGGTAGTGTGATGTACCTCCTAGCGTCTTTTTGCCACGAGGCATCGTGTCTGTCTTCAATGTCATGGGTGTAGCGTGACGATCTCCTGTAGACCAACAAGAGTCTCGGCATGGCCTGCCTTGTTTGCATACTACTAGGAGGTATAGGAAGGGAGAGAGGAGAGGGAGAGGAAGAGGGAGAGAGGAGAGGAAGAGGGGGAGGGGGTGTGAGAGAGAAGGAAAGGCTGCGATTGGACGTTTTGTGATGCTGGCCTAGCTGCAGTTGAGGTCTGGGGAAGTTATCACTCGGCATCATCATCAGCAGCCTCATCATCATCATCATCATCATCATCATCATCATCATCATCATCATCATCATCATCATCATCCTAGAGGCTCGATAAGAGATGCACATGCAGATGAAAGTGTACAGATAAGGTGCATGAGTATAGAACACGAACATGTCGCCATTGTGGAGGAGGGCGAGAGTGAGAGTGGTTGGGAGAGAGAAGATGAGACGCATGGTGGCTGTTGTATCCACGTCTTGCATGCTGACCTGATTCTGACTATTACTGTACTTGGGCGTACTCATCAGTTTCACTGGCAAAGGTACGCTGTGTCTCGTCGTTCCTGGATAAAAAAAAGAATGGGGTCGGCTTCAATCTTCACGATCGTTCTCGTTATCGGCTCGACAGACTAGCGCTTGGCAGGGTCTGTCTGGGGAACTCTATTTTCTTCCTTGAACACTTCTTTTTTTTGCCCTTTTTTTTCCTTTGTTGGCACGTGTTCATCTTCCCGTCACAGCCCGTGGATGTTATCGAGGTGAATGAATGATATGTACTACCTCCAGGAATGTCCATCCCGGTCTCTTATAGAAAATCAGAGCAGAAAGACAGAGAAAGACAGAAAACAAAAGACGGGCTCGTTGAGGTCCAGGTGGTGTCCAGTACCTGCATGTTCCCACGGAAGACGACGGCTTGGCTCGCGTCAATTTTGGTTGAACTCCATCCCGACAACCCGTCTCCGCTTTTTTGTTCCCGTTTGCCGTTTGTTGCTCGCAGATGCTCTAGTACAGCGGAGTGTTGGGAATGGGGAGGGGGAGACTGATGCGACCACGACGCGCCATTATTCCCCGACTTGTGAGGAACAATCCCCGACGCCACTGCCTTAGCTGAGTCTGCCTTTCACACTCGTTTATATTCTGCTCCTGCCCTGTTGCTGCCCTTCCTTACCTCCTACCTTACCTCCTCCTCCTCCTCTTCCCCCCATCACTCCCTCCTCGACACCTACACACACGCCCTACGCTACGGGCACACACCACTACATTCCACTCACTACCTTACCCACCTCAGCTATCCTTCTCCCATACGCCTTCCCCGTCGATATCGTCCCTCGAGCAACATTGGACCTCGCTGTGACTGCCTGCGAGCACACGCGTCCGTCCCTCCATCGCACCGCAATTTGCCATGCCTTCCCACCAACCCACCGCCGGCATGCTCGCCGTCGACCCCGAAAAGATTTCAGAGGAGCGCAAGTCGCCAGTCATGGCCAGCAAGAATGAGCCCAACCGAAACCCGAAATACGACCCGAAAAAGCCTCACATCACCGAGACTCCCATGACGAGGAAGAATTGGTACAAGCACGTCAACTGGCTGAATGTCACCTTGATTGTCGGTGTGCCCATTGCGGGTCTCATCTACTCCTTCTGGACACCATTGAAATGGCAGACTGCCCTGTTTGCCGTCATCTACTACTTCTGCACCGGTCTCGGCATTACTGCCGGTTACCATAGACTCTGGGCACACACATCATACTCTGCCTCATTCCCACTCAAGGTCTTTTTGGCATTTGTGGGAGGTGGCGCTGTGGAGGGCTCCATCAGATGGTGGTCTCGCGACCACCGTGCCCACCACCGCTACACCGATACCGACAAGGACCCCTACAGCGTCCGCAAGGGTCTTCTCTACTCGCATTTCGGCTGGATGCTGATGAAGCAGAACCCGAAGCGCATTGGACGTACCGACATCTCCGATCTCAACGACGACGCCGTTGTCGTCTGGCAACACAAGCACTACCTCAAGGTCGTCATCTTTGCAGGTCTCATCTTCCCGTCTTTGGTTGCTGGTCTCGGCTGGGGTGACTTCATTGGTGGATTCGTCTATGCCGGTATTCTGCGCATCTTCTTCGTTCAGCAAGCTACCTTTTGTGTCAACTCGCTTGCTCACTGGCTCGGCGATCAACCATTTGACGACCGCAACTCTCCTCGTGACCACGTCATCACCGCCCTGGTCACCCTCGGCGAGGGCTACCACAACTTCCACCACGAGTTTCCATCCGACTACCGCAATGCCATTGAGTGGCACCAGTACGACCCCACCAAGTGGTTCATCTGGACCATGAAGCAGCTCGGCCTCGCCTACGACCTCAAGCAGTTCCGCTCCAATGAAATCGAAAAAGGCCGCATCCAGCAGCAACAGAAGAAGCTCGACCAGAAGCGTGCGAAGCTCGACTGGGGCGTACCTCTGGAGCAGCTCCCGGTTCTCGAGTGGGACGACTACGTGGACCAGACCAAGAATGGTCGCGCTCTCATCGCTGTGGCAGGTGTTGTGCACGATGTGACGGACTTTATCAACGACCACCCCGGTGGTAAAGCCATGATTCGCAGCGGTCTCGGCAAGGATGCCACTGCCATGTTCAACGGTGGTGTGTACATGCACAGCAACGCCGCACACAACCTGCTCTCCACCATGAGAGTCGGTGTCATTCGTGGTGGCATGGAGGTTGAGATCTGGAAGAGGGCGGAGAAGGAAAGCCAAGGATCACAGATTTACAAGGATTCGGATGGGAACCGCATCGTGCGTGCTGGCGCGCAGTTGACCAAGGTGATTCAGCCTCCTGTCTCTGCGGGTGCAGCATAAGCAGCTCGTGGGAGAGTCTTTTTTTCATCATATGACGAGGATCATGAGCGTCCAGTTTCTTAGTGTTGCGTTTTAGCGGGCCGGCGGACTGGGAGATGTGTGGAATGCGGCTCAATGAATGAAGCTAGCTAGTTTACTCTGAAGTGAGCATTATCAGAACGAGTGCACCACCACCTATATTGGCTTGTCTTGTTTCCTCGTCTCTTATTAGTGTTCGGCAAAGGACAGGCCAAAAACATTCATCAGCTTATTCAGTAGGTGCGCACTCCACTGGAGGAGCGAGCCAGCTGTACCTCCTAGGTTTATTATGGAGGTTCCTCTTTTGTTTGCTTTTAAAATCACACTCGGAGGGGTAGTGAGTATATGTGAACTATAGAGGCACCTCAGTACGAAAAGCTCCCTGTTCCTTAATGGGTACCTTCCGTCCTTCCTTATATACCTGGTACCAGGTTTTTTTTTCGGCTTACACTACAAGATACGTAGCTCTATACATCATGACAATACAACATTGATTGTATCGTGATTTGAATTTTTTTTTTTTTAGGTGAACTACCCCCTACACTCTGAAAAAGTCACAATACGGTACACATTTGCATACAACACGCTACTCTGCTCCTCCCCTAAGTGAATGCCGTCATCCAGGACTAAGCTCACGTATCTTTGGTCTTGTCCTCTCTGTTCTCCCTCTCCTGCCAGAGGCTATAGCCCGTGAATTTGTAGTCTTTATCATGATAGATATGCACAGCTTGCGCCTTGTTGTTTTTCGCCTGTTCCTCCGTGGCTAGAAATACTGTAGCATGCTCCCTGGGGTCTGAGGGGCTGGTATGGGAAGCATTCCTATTCCATAGGTTCTTCCAGTCAGCTGGCCAATCCTCACTTGTTGGTTAACAATGTATAATTGCATACTTGAACGTCGCCACAGTGAAATGGGCCAATTCTGGCTTATTGATGGCTTCTTGAACCAAATCCAACATCTGGGTTCGATAGGCTGAATCTCGAAGTTTCTGCGTCAGTTTGATAGCACTGCGTGCGATGGGTGACATGTTGCCGCTGGGTCTGATTTGGGAGGGGATAACGGAATTGAATAGTACACAACTTGCGGTACAATCTGAGAGTATCGCTACGAAGGGTGCAAACATCTCTACTTATATACCCACTCGGTCTGCTTTCGACTGCTTACAGGCATCTACAGTACAGCGTCTGCGTGCGCACCTCGGCGTGTTGGACGCGGTCCGTAGAAGTTCATTTGTTACAGAATCCTTGTCTTTTCCTTGAATACTCGTGCTGGTATCCAACTCCGAGGTGCGCGCAAACGCTGTGTAAGCGCGCCTGTCTTGCAACCATTTGCAATTGTAGGTCCTTCACTGACTTCCCTTGTGGACCCCTTGCATGCAGCCGCTGGTTTGAGGTAGGAGGCAGCGCTTAGACATCGCCAATTGTCTTGGCGTCACGTCTCCAGGATCTGACCTTTACGCGCTGTACCTGCTCTCGAGTCGGGAATGGCTAAAAACTCCTCTCGCAACCAAATGCAAGCGTTTGAGCGAAAGCATGCGTGCCATCAGGATCATTTCTCGACTTCGCCACCAATGCCTCCAGCCAGAACAGGTATACCAATCGTCCCTAATAGCAGCACGCCTTCCACCTCGACGTGCACTTGTCACCACATGTGCACGACCTTGCCCCCATAATTCGACAATGGATTGGTCTACACATCGTTGTGACATTAATGCCGAACCTCTACATCGCTACCAACGAGGTGGCTATCATCCTGTTCACTTAGGAGATTGTTTAGGCCACAATGACAGATACAAGATTTTGCACAAATTAGGATGGGGTGGATACTCGACCGTGTGGGCTGCACGCGATATGAGGTCCTTCTCTCTCTCTCTCTCTCTCTCTCTCTCCCTCTCTGCGATACACCAACAAGCTGGGGCTAACATGCGACAGTAACCAAACGTACGTTGCTATCAAGATATCGGTGTCGGAGCCACAAGGTCAGAATCGAGAATCTACCGTTTTGCAAACTATCGCGACTGCACACGCAAACCAGCCTGGTTACCAATATCTGATGACGATGACGGATTTCTTCGAGATCAGTGGCCCCAATGGAAAGCACGAATGCCTCGTGCTGGAGTTTCTAGGACCAAGTGTAGCCGATTACCTCGACGCGCATTCCCTCGACGAAAGGCTTCCCGGAGTGCTCGCGAAAAGTGTTGTGAAACAAGCTTTGCTCGGTCTGTCCTTCCTTCACGAACGAGGAATTGCGCATGCAGGTACCGTACAATCACGTCAGCAGCGTTCGTCCACTCCGCTAAATCATCATCATTATCTTCATCATCATCCTTAGATCTACACACCCGCAACCTCGCCTTCACCATCCCTTCGCTGCAAGCCTTGCGAGAGGAAGATTTCCTCCGCAAACTCGGACGACCCGAAACGGGCACTGTCCAAAGAACAGACGGCCAGCCACTAGGGCCTGGCTTACCTCGATATCTCGTCCGACCCACTTCCTACCATCAAGATATTGAGACATCATTCGGACCGATCAAAATCGTCGACTTTGGCCAATCTTTCTTACGCAACGAGTCTCCTGACACCCTGCACACTCCCTTCCCCTATCGTGCCCCGGAAATCATCTTCCAAGACAAAGTGGATTATCGCGTTGATCTTTGGAGTATGGGTTGTCTCGTACGTAACGCCTCCAAGCTTCCCGGTCTATCCCCTCCCACGCGTGTTTTTCACTCATAAAAAGCCGAATTAACAATTCGATCCCAGTTCTTCGAACTCATCGTCGGCCAAACTATCTTCGACAACATGGTGCCCAAACCCGCCATGCTCATCCGCCAAATGCTCGAGACAGTCAGTGACTATGATACATTACCCGACCGTTGGAAACTCGCGTGTCAAGATCTCTTGGATAATGAACAAAGACCTCCGTCTGACGAGGAAGATCCCACTTATACCCTCCACGCATGGCTCGAAGAAACGTACTATAACAGTGGCGTCGAGAAGCGAACGGATTTGAGTCGGGAAGATATTTCACGAGTCGGCATGTTGATTGGAAGGATGCTGAGATTGGAGCCTTTGGCTAGGGAAGAGGCTAAGGAGGTTGTGAGGGATGAGTGGTTTTGTTAGAGAGGGAGGGTAGTGAGGGAGGGAGAGGATACAGCGAGGGAAAAGAAAAAAAAATAGGGGTCTCTACCTTACTTAGGTAAGTTAGGGGGTTAATGAATGAAGTGAATAAAATGAAAACTACCTACCTATCTACATACCCATCAAGAGAAATGTCTACCTAGGTATTATTATCCCTTATATATTCTTCGTGCCTAGTCGCCAAGCTTTGCTTTTGCTTCTTCTTTTCCTTTTTCGTCTCCCAATGGGCATTTTCGATAGTGGTAAGGTAGGTAGGTAGGTTACAAAAGCGAATGAATATTCGATCTGGCATTATTGTTGTTGTTATTAGAGGTGTTTGGTTGTAATGCAACGGCTACTTAGGTAACTTTACTCAACTTACCTCTGCTAGACAAGACACTATTGGCAAGCTCAATGGCCGTTTGTTAGGTCGCGATGTCGTATATGTGTGTGTGTGTGTGTGTGTGTGTGTGTGTGTGTGTGTGTGTGTGTGTGTGTGTGTGTGCAAAGGACTGAGACAGTCACAGTGTTGCGGAATCGTGATATTGACACCACAGGAATGAACAAGACCAATCGCTCATTCTTACATCGTTTCTCGTTTCTGAACAAGTGGAATAATGCTCATCAGAGCCACGAGCCACTAGTCCTCCTACTAGTGACTACCGCTGGTACTACTACTACTACAAGCTCAAGTTGGCGAGGTACTTCTGAGCGGCCTCGACGGCCTCACCCACTTTCGTGGCGTCCGTACCTTGGCCGAGCGAGGTGGCGCCCTTGCCACCCGCCTTGCCTCCGACGAGAGAAGAGACCTCGCTGGACCACTTGGCAGCGTCGGCGCCCTTGGCCTGCGCATCCGCAGAGACGTGGCAGCCGTGAATGACCTTGCCATCATCAGTCTTGCCGAGCAGGTACACTGTCTTGTCCTTTTGCTTGGTTTGCACCACCTTGATGGTCTCCTGAATAGACTTGCCTCCCGCAGAGACGGGAACGGCAAGCACAAGGGTCGTGGATCCGGCATTGCTCACGAAGTGGTTCGTCACTTCATCGAGGACCTTCTTGCTCTCGGCCTTTTGAGCAGTCTTCTGCTGATCCAGGTTGGCCTTGGCGACTGCAGCGACACGATTGCGAAGCGACGTCTTCTGCAGAGCAGAGATGTCGAGCTTGCTCAGGTCCGTGGTGAGCTGCTTCGTCTTGGCCTCTTTGTCCGGTCCATACGGGAGCTTCTCCAGCGCTGAAACCTGCTTCTCCCACTCCTGAGCAATGGCTTGCACGCGATGAGCTTCGGCACCAGTCACAGCAACAATGCGACGAATGCCTTTGGCGATACCACTCTCTTCCACCACGACAAGGTCTTTGATCTCGGTTGTGGACTTGACGTGTGTACCACCGCAGAACTCAATCGAGATGTCATTCCACTTGGGATCCGAGGGGTTTTCGAGGAGGTCTTCAACGGCCATGCCCACAGAGACGACACGCACAGGATCCGGGTACGTCTCGCCAAAGACAGCGCGAACACCGTTGATCTGGCGGGCAGTAGCGAGAGGCACGTCCTTTGAAAACACCTCGAAGTTCTGGCGAATGTAGTTTGTGCTGACTTCCTCGATCTTGGCGAGTTCCTCGTCAGTCACGCCTGCCTTGTGGCTGAAGTCAAATCGCAGCTTTTCAGGTGCGACGAGGGAGCCCTTCTGGTTGACGTCGTCGCCGAGCACTTCTCTCAGGGCATAGTTGAGGATGTGCGTTCCAGTGTGGTTGTTGCGAATAGGTTGTCTTCGAAGCTCGTCGTACTCTGATAGCACTTCATCACCGACCTTGAGGCTACCATACTCCACGTAGCCGGTGTGCATGACATATCCAGCATATTGCTGGACGTTGTCAACCTTGATCTCGGCCTCGCCGTCAATGAGGATGCGGCCGGTGTCGTTTTCCTGTCCACCTTGCTCCGCGTAGAAGTTCGTCTTGTCGAGAATGACGCCGAACTGTTCGCCTTCGGGTATCTCCGAGGTTGACTTGATAAATTTGCGGTCGTGATAGATTGCCTTGATGGTAGCCTTGATGTTGTCACGCTGGAACTTGGGCGTGTCGTCCTGTAATAAGTGTTAGCCCGCTGTCAGAGTCAGAGAGAGGAATCTGCCACAGATGAGCTTACCGTCTTCGGCACATCTGGCATGTTCTCGAGAGTGCTAATGTCATGCACGTCGAGCTTCACCAGTGTGGCGCCAGCCTTCTTCTCTCCCTTCGATGCTTCGCGAGCCTTCTCTTGAGCTTCAGCGACATCCTTGTCGATGATCTCAAGTCCGCGCTCGTCACACATCAATCTCGTCAAGTCCACTGGGAAACCGTATGTGTCATAAAGCCGCCACACATCTGCACCAGCCAGTGTCTTTGTGCCGCTCGACTTGCAATTCTGTGCATATTTCTCAAACATACTCTCTCCACGATCCAGCGTCTTGGCGAAAGAAACCTCTTCCTCATCGAGAATCTCCTTGACTTCATCCTGTTTCTTCTTGATTTCTGGGAACATATCACCCATCTGCTCCACTAGTGTGGGAACGAGCTTGGAGAAGAAGCTACCAATATCAGTGTTGAAGTACTTGCGGGCATAGCGTGCACCACGGCGAAGCACGCGACGAACGACATATCCACGACCGACGTTGTTTGGCACGCCTCCGTCCGAGATGGCAAAGGTCAGTAACCGAACATGGTCGGCAACCACTCTGTAGGCAGTGTCGACGCCATCGGCATCTTCCTCTCCAAACTTTCCCTGGTATTCTCTCGCGCCAGTGATCTCCTGGATGCGAGCAAAGAGTGGCGTGAAGACATCCGTGTCGTAGTTCGAGGGCTTGTTCTGCAAGATGGAGACCAGTCGCTCAAACCCCATGCCAGTGTCGACGTGCTTGTTAGGCAGCGACTTCAGTGACTTGTCCGGTTCTCGGTTGTATTGAATAAAGACGTTGTTCCAGATTTCGATGACATTGGGATCATCCTGGTTGACGAGGTGTGAAGCATTGCGGCCGCCGATGCGATCGTAGTGGATCTCTGAGCATGGTCCACAAGGGCCTTGGTCACCCATCTCCCAGAAGTTGTCTTTCATATCTCCAGTCAGGATGTGGTCCTCGGGAACGCCTTGGGCGAGCCAGAAATCTCGGGCCTCGGTATCGGGATCCAGTCCGGCATCAGCTTTGCCTTCGAAGTAAGTCACGTACAGTCGATCGGGCTGAAGGCCATAGACTTTTGTGAGTAGCTGCCACGAGAGTTGGATGGCTTCCTCTTTGAAGTAATCGCCAAAAGACCAGTTCCCCAGCATCTCGAAGAAGGTGTGGTGGTACGAGTCTTTGCCGACATCGTCGAGATCATTGTGCTTACCACCAGCGCGAATGCACTTTTGCGAATTGGCAGCGCGCTTGAGCTTGGCGAAGTCAGAGTCGCGGTCCACAGTGCCCAGGAAAATGGCCTTGAATTGGTTCATGCCAGCATTGGTGAAGAGCAGGGTGGGGTCTGACAGAGGCACGACACTGCCGCTGGGGACGAAGGTGTGGCCATTCTTCTCGAAGTACCTGGGGAAGAGTCAGTGGGGGTGGACATTTGCTCGTCGCCGCCCGGCCTGGTTGGGTATTTCTGTTTTTCTGCTCGCAAAACTGGAGGACGAGGCCGAGACGCTAGCGACAGAGTGAGGGAGGGAGGGATTGGGGCATATCGGCCTCACTCGACTTACTCGATGAAGGTCTTGCGAACCTTCACGGCGCTCCACTCAGGCTCGTGGCCCGTGGTGGAGGCCATTCTGCGTATCTGGGGGAAGATCACGCGGATCGGGGCGGTGTATGTGCTCGTGATCGTGGTCGTCGTCGTCGTCGTGGTTTTCGTGGCGTTTCTAGAAATTCTGAAGTGGAGCAGGCCCGAGACGAGTTGGCGGTGGAAGCTTCGCATGCAGCTTGTCTCTCTCGCGTGACATCCACTCAGGTTGTTGAAAGTCGTACCTACAGCCGCACACTCACTCTTCGGTCGCGGTTCTGAGATGACTTTCGGGATTGGACGTGGTGTTGCGCGGTGATGGACGATGGCTGCTATCGATGTGGATGTGGGGCCCCGAAAGCGCAAGCTCGATGAGTCAAGAAACGACTATGAACGGTTCGCCAAACGCTTCAATCTGCTCAATCTTGGTATGTCCGATGCCGATGCATAGCACGGAGAAGCGGCGGCTGCTGCTGCTCTGCACCTTTGAGTCCGTCTACAGCTAGCCGTATCTGACGCGTGGTATCATGTCGCAGAATCCAGTACACATGGCGCTCACGCCAGCAGCTCATATTATATCCCAGTCGCGGGCCCATCGACTTCACCTACTGCGCGCACATCATCCAAGCACGGCACCAAATCGACAGCAGCAGGAGATGGGGGACTGATGCAGGTCGATGAGACGCGTGATCGCGTCTACATCCACGACTTGGACGCGGAATTGGCAGACATCGAGTCGGATGAAGAGAAGCTCATTTTCCTTCCCGACATTGAGAAGCACTTCAGCAAAATACCAAAGCATGTCTTGACTGGCAAGAATGAGGATGTCGAGGGCCAGGAGCTGGTGCTCTATAGCGTGCCCAAGTCGCTCACTGTGGACGAGCAGCAGGACGCGGTGAGGAAGGCGATAGTAGAGACGAGGCAGAGAGCACGCGAGAAGGCTCTCGAGGACGCAAGACAGCAGAACATGAATCGTCAATATGAGCAGACTATGGAGGGGGCAGAGACGGCACATGGATACAGCACGGGATACGTGACTGAGATGGACACGGAAGCTGATCCGGACGCCATGGATATGGATTGATGCATGAATGCAGTGAGTAACAGCAATTATCCAACCCTCCTCCGTCTCTACTCCCTCTCCACTACGAGGCCACGATCCATCCATCGGGTTGGTGTTGTGACAACGCCATTGCCTCCCAATCGCTACTGACAGGTGCTCATCTTATAACAGTTGTAGCCATATTGGGGCCCCCTTGGGTCCACATAGCAATAGCCTTGGACTGTACGTGTTGCATTAGTGTAGTCTCTCCTTCAGGCGATGGGGTCTACAACTTACCATTAGGGTCTCCCCCGTACGCGCATCCAGTGCATGGTGGTGCATATTGGCCACAGATTCCGTCACCTACAGCGAGGTGGTATGTGGCGAAGCCAATGAAGAGGTAACAGAGCTTGGGAAGCAACATTGTACAGGTAGTTTTGTGGTGTGTATGTACACTTGATCGTTCTTGGAGGCTGCTAAAGTGATAGCGCGAGTTCGGCTAGGTACATGTAGTGTTCGATACTGATTTTTTACTCTTATCTCCCACGAGGCGGAAAGACATTCTACTTCTACTTCTAGGTACTTCTACCTCTACCTCTCAACTGCTCGGAAACATCGGCGGAATGACTGGTCAGAGCGTGTCTGATACGCCTCACATCACCAACTCACACCTCACCATTCATCATGGATGAGCTTCCGCCGAGAACCACTCACAGGTCTAACCTAACCATACCTACAGTCCATAAAGACCCATGCCATGTCAGCTAGCGTGGCTACCTCATGGCAACCCCGACAAGATTGAAACATCACAGCGTATAACCCCTTCAACTCAGGATACCAGTGTTACCTGATTACAGTAATGCCTGAGAAGAATCTTGAGTGCCTCTTATCAATATCCGCACATTTCGCTCAATCCTATCTACAGTCGTACGGAAAAATGCCTGGCATGTAGTGAGCTTCACCTACCTCGTATTGTTCTTACCTCTGAGCTTCCATCGGCTCTGGAATTGAATTTTATGTCGGCTAAGGTAGGTACCTCCTAGGTAGGGAGGTAACTTTTTGTACCCCGAGACAAATCTGGAACATAGTACCAGCTTTTCTACCCTACCGAGAGGTACAAGCTAGGTATATACGCCCGACCGTCGTTCATGATTAGGGGAGAAGGAATGATGAGGGCAAAGAGGAAGAGAAGATTTATAATTAGTACCTGAGCATAACGCAGAGGTTTCATTCTAGAGGTTATACTTTCTTGCATCTGCTCTCTTGATGCAAAGATTTTGTTGTGTTGTACATCCTTCGATCGTAAAGGGGTTTATTGGGACGTGCTACCTACTGACAGCAGAGGAAAGGTGAGCGCGATGTAAACAGACAGATCGAATGGATAGGTAAGGTAGGTAGGCTATTTGAGGAAGAAGAATATCAGATTTCCACACATTATCGCTGATTTCATAAGATAAGAACCACACCCGAATTCTGCACCACTTCATGACATAAGGAATCTCGTCTCAGCAAAATTTCTCTCTCTCTCTCTCTCTCTCTCTCTCTCTCTCTCACACACACACACACACACACACACACACACACACACACACACACACACACAC